GTTGATTAATCGATTGGTTGGTTGGGTGATTTACAATTAAGAATTATTTGGTGCCATACGATGTATAATAATTTCTCACCTAACTCTCTCGCAATTTATTATGATTAAAAAATCCTTTCTAGCCTAAGGTTCAAAGTACACGCACTAACGAGAGAGAATGAGGACTGTCATCTACTGAATGACATTAATTTATACACTCTTAGTTGATTTAGAAATCAAACAAACGAAAATTTTTCCTTAAAAATCAGAGGTTAATAATACAAACTTTTCAACCAGATGACAAACAAACAACTGAATCAAGTTCTGAATTGTTAAAAAATGCAACCAGCCATCCAGTAGATAATAAAATATTGTTGAACTAACATAATGATCGTTCCAGTTGCCACCGATGACAGCAGGGCCGAAGGACCTGGCAGGGTTCATCGAGGAGCCTGTGTACTTGATCTGCATGGTGTGGTGAAGTGTGTGCGTGTGCTGGTGAGCTATGTTCTGCTGCTGTTGGCTGTCCTTTTATTAATATAACGCAGTTTGCATTTGCTTGATATTGGGACATTTTAAAGGATTATTTAAACTATTATGAAAAAATGTTAATGTGTGAGTGAATGTTGAAGCATTACAAAGCAGCAAAGTACTCACGGCGAACATGTGGCAGAAGGCGACAGCGAACCCGATGCTAAACGCAGCTGAACCGTTGCGATCGTTCTTGTTTGTTTCGCACGAAGCGAAAATAGTGAGCACAAGAATGAATGTAATCGAAGCCTCAACAGTCAACCCATCTGGACAGGCCCTCAAAGTTTCATCCACACTGGTCTGTCCGAGGTCTCCCTCGTAGACGACCGGCGTGATGCCCTTCAGAATTGCTGCTCCGTATATGGAGCCAGTCAGCTGAGCAGCGATGTACAAGACGGCTCTAACGATAGTCACTCTCCTGGTGATAAACATGGCGCACGTGACAGCTGGATTGATGTGACCTCCGCTGATGTGTTCCATACAGTGTACGATTGTGGCCACGGTTAGACCAAAGGTCAAGGAGATTTGAACAATAGTTGGATCTCTGGATTGCCAGTCATGTCCAATGCACGTTCCACATCCAAACAGCACCAGCAAACTTGTGCCCACCATTTCGGCCAGCATAGCTTTCCAGAGAGAAAAACTTTTCAACTCCTTCCAGTTCCTCTCCATCATTCTGATTGCAGCTGCTTTCACCATATTAGTAGCTTCAAAAAAACCGTGCCAGATTATTCTTCAATTTTTTTTAACAAGTTGCTCAATTGCTGTGAACATTAAAAATTTATTACTGAGTTTTATTACTGGTGTTTACGATGATTTCTTATATATTTCATTAATTCAAAAAAGTCACCTACAGACAAACAACACGAACTGAGCTGGGAGATTAACCAATTGAAGAGTACAAATAGCAACAAATTCGTAAAATTTACTTAAAAAATTAATTAGCGAATATGCGTTTTAAGAGTCAATCAATCTAAACTTTTATAGTTTTAATCCGGAAATTTTTATTAATTTTTTTAGTACATCGCTGACATTATTATTTCTATTTGATTGATTTTTTCTAACTTTGTGTAATTATTGTAAATAACGTGAATTTACTCGTTGAAATGGGATTAAACTCGAAGCTCTGTCCCTGACTCAGTAAACATTTTATGTTGGTTTGAATTGTCTTTCAATTTATTTAAGTTGATGAGGAGTGATTAAATTTGAAGAACAACGCATTAAACTGCATCAACATTCGTTATTTTTGCACTGGTTATGATGATTCATTGCATTAATGCATAACAAACATTCACAACAATTAATATTCCGATTTTCATCGCGTGTTATACCCACGAAGGCTGGGTCAGATAAGTGTATGATTTGCAAATCTATTGACCCATATCTTACGTAAACTTCTTTCATTGTTTGCTATTTTTTAATTAAGCTACCATTTTTTCGCTTTAAATTGATAGTTATATCATTTAAATGTTTTATTGGCCATTTTTTGAAACTGCCAAAACATCGATGATTTTTGGCTTATTTAAAGTTCACCACTTGAGACAATCAGTAACTACTCGCGTTGTTTGCTTAAGTTAAAATATTCACCAAATTTTATTTATGATCAACTATTTAATTGAGCAGCAGGTCACTTACGAACTGTCGCGCCTTATGAACTGTTTATCCTACTTATTAAATTAATTAATTAAATAGTAATTACTCAACCAGTTTAGAAAATTGCACAACAAATTCCGCATTATAAACTTCCAAGTTTTGTTTTGCAGAAAAAAACCTATTTTTTTTAGCAAAGCATGTCAGCTAATAAAATTAAATTATCTCATATCTTGGACATATCATGTATATATTGTATATAAATATGATATAAACATATACAAATACACATACAAACATATTCAGACAACACATACAGACAACACTTTTTTATTAATATTTTCTTTTTTTCAAAATTTTTTTCGGTTTTTTAAAACCGGATGACTCTTTTAGAATTTACTATTTTGTTTAAATTTTCGTTAAATGTGTTTTATTAATTACCAATAAATATAAAACTGTCCAAATTATGAAAAGATGGAAAGGATTCTGGGAATTCTATATTAGCAAGAACATATACAAGAAGCAATCCTGTCTAGAAATGACCTAGTGCAGTACCATTATAATTGTCTTGCACGACAAAATAAAACCGTATAAAACATATAGCAGAAAAACTGGTGGCATTAGTATCGGTATCGGTATGTCGAACTGAAGTACCGAACTTTGTTTAACGCCCAGTTTTTCTTTATTTTTATGTCTAAAATTCCGAAATTTTTTAGTTTCAATTTAGTCAGGTGTTGCGCGAAGAGGGTGAGAAAGATGGCTGAAAGTGTCGAATCGTCGAAAGCAGAAGATAAGATGGATGTTGCGAACGTTGCTGCACCTACCGACACCACAATGTCGATGGAGACTGCAGAAACCTCAACTCAGAAGAAGGAAGAAGAAAATGCAGAAAGTTCAATAAGTTTAAGTAGGGAGGAGGATAAGTTCCATTCCAAATCTAAAAGAAGTCGAAATGAAAAGAATGATGATACGGATGCTAGAAGCAGTAAAGGCGAAGGTCCTAACAGTTTCCTTTCAATTCCCATCACCAACAGTGAGGTATGTTTGTTATGTAATATATGTAGTATATAGTTTTTTTAGTATATGACTCACTATGACTATATATGTAATGTATTATGTTGGATTCTGCTCAGTTACTATTTATTATTTAAAATAAATTTACTATATTACATAGCATAAATTATTCTTAGTAACGTTTTGAGCATTACATTGTTGGCATTACGCTGAAACTCTTCCATTTATATTTCAATTGAATTAAAAATTGAACTTAATTACTTTTGAACAGCTGTGTGTGTGTGTATTCAGTTCATTAAAGTTAAAATTAAATAATAACATTTTTTAAACAGACTTCAGAAAATATAGCTGCAATTCAGAAGTTTATTGTAGAATGTGATCCAATGCTAAAACCATTATTGATAAATCTACCAACTTTACACATTACTCTTGGGGTATTTTCATTGAAAAATGTCGTGAATGAGCTGGAAAGGTTACTTACACATACATTTTAAAAGAAACCACATTTATTATCAAACCTTAATCCTTAACTTATGCCATAACTTTTTATACATTTTATCAGTTGCAAAGAAGCTTTAGAAGAATCAAAAAGAAAAATACTTGATTTTGGAGCAAAATTTCCATTATCAATAAATGTTGAAGGTGTTGGTTCTTTTAGCAACCGAGTGCTTTATGCCAAAGTTACCCCGAGTGATGATTTGAAGGTTGTTAGCCAAATGTCAGGTGCAGTTAGGTTACACCACATAAATAATATGTGAAATAGTGTTTTAATGTTTATTTTAGAAACGCTGATGAAAGTTTTTGAAGATAAAGGAATAAAAGCAGCTGACTCTTTACCATTTAAGCCTCACATCACCATTATGAAGTTATCAAGAGGAAAGTTCTTTTTGAAGAAAAGTGAATTTGATTCAAACTGAGTTTATGTTACATTTAAATTGTCACTGTTGTTTATTGGCCTCACTAAAAGTAAAAGTAATGCTCAAAATCTGTTTAAATGAACAGAATTTTGATACAAGCCACATAACGTTGCAACTGATAATAACTGAACATCAAAACTTTAGAGCAGTCATTATCTCAGATGAAAACATTGTTTTAAAAGTATTAATCCATCTTAACCAATCTCCATTTAAAAAATGATTTCATCTAAAATTTATAATTGTTAATAACGGACCAACTTATTACTAACAGACCTAAAAGAAATAATCGAAAAGATAGAAGCAAAGTATGAGAACGAGAAGATGGGAAGTAATGAAGTGAACCGAGTGGACTTGTGTTGGATGCGTAGGCAAGCACACTCAGATGGCTACTACAACATCATTCACCAAATTAAACTCGATCAACCAAGTGAAGCACATTTTGAATCAGATGATAACACAAAAGCAGGTATTAATAAAGAAAAGGAAATTAGCACAAGGGACACCGGCACAATTGAAGATATTGATACACAAAATCATAAGACGGTAGCTGATGACGACAATAGCCATAGCAAGGCAAGCACAACAGAGTCAGGTGCAAACATACCAGGTGAAAAAGTTCCTGAAGGGGACAGAATTTAAACAAACCAAACTAACAAAAACACAGTTTAAAGGATTCACGATAAAATGAAGACTTAAAATCAGCGCAGATATGAATAGAAGTTTTGCCTTACAACCCCGCATTATTTTTCATCATCACGGCAGCTGTCTGTATTTATTTTTTCTAAGAACACCATACATAATAATGATGACAATCAGTTTTTTAAACCTTTAATATTTTATCTATATACAAGTACATTAAATGAAATTAAATCTAATATAAAGAATAATAATAATAAGTGAAAATAATAATAAGAAAAATAATGAACTGAAGCTTAACATATCGCACAACTATTATCGAATTCAAGCCTTTAATCATTAAATAGACTAAGAAAGTTTAGCCTGTTGATTGAATCTAACGAATGCTCCAGTCAGCTGCTAGCTAGAATCAGTACAATCAATTAATTGATATGTAGGTTCTATATACTCATATTGAACAACAAAAGCATTATTTAAGTACAATTTAAAATTTATTACACAATATATTCACGTGCATATTTATAATATATATATTTATTTATCTATTCATTTTTATATGGTTATATACTTTTTGTAGCAACGAGAAAATTTAGATGTGTTAAAATACAAATCTTCAAAACGTTTCAAAAGTAGCAAAATGCACTAAAACGGCAACACAAACGAACAGAAGCTACCAAATTACGTAACGAGCACTACTTACCTACATCAGCATCTATGCACGAATATTACAATACGCACGTACGCATATACACACACACATGTATATAGTATGCATTTACATATATATTGTTGAACATATGTATATAATATATATATATATATATATGAAAATTTCTTGTCCGGTTTTTCTAAAGTGACCAAACGATATACACAAAATTTACGAACACTATATAAAGTTTATAAGTACCATCGTATAAATAGAATTGATGCCAGTAGTGGTATGTGTATGTGTGTGTTGCGTGTGTGTGTGTATGTAAGTATGTGTGTGTGTATGTATAAGTATAATTGTACAGTACGATTAATATGTCATCAAATGATTTTTTTCTCCAACAAATCATTTTAGCAGAAAAAAACTGACAGAAACAGAATTTCGTTTTGTAGTAATGTGCAAATATTTGTACCATATATCACTCAAATTAAAATGAGTCAAATTAACATCCAACTGGCATGCACTTTTGCACTTACAAGTGGTTTCCAATGCACAGTAATAATTAAAAAAAAATAAAACATCAAACATTGTGAGACACTCAGCATACACGCCTATACACACACACACGCACATATATATAAATACTTGTACGTATTCAAATACGGCATATAAATTGTACATACACATGTGCACGTTACCCACGCACGCGAGTTAACTTCACATTGCAAAGGGTGTAGCCTGGTGAACATGGCACTAAGTGCGTACAACATCCGGCCGTTCACAACCATACCCACACGTACATACCGCGGATATACACATTTCAGTGCACACAGACATAAATGGTCGTAAATATTAGACGCATATGCTTATAAGATTCGAAACATATACAAATATGTATCCACTATTATGCTTCTTGTTCTTTCAGAAAACACAATATGTAAACCTAACATGATATATTTATTTACGTTATTCACTATTATTTTAACTAAATTTAATTACATACAATTAGATTGTCTTGACAATTTAATGAAATTAAGATGAAAAGTTAATAGAGCGGAAATAATAAAATTATAATTAAATAAAAAAAATATATAATTCAACAATGGCAACAGTAATGCTCAACACGGACTGACGGATGTAACAATGAAACACATGTGACCACTGCAGATTGCCACCGATGTCATTGCAGTCGCCGCTGTCATCACCACTGTCATCATCAACTCATCAACGTTCTTGTTGCCTAACATTTGCAGATGCATTCCACCTCAGCACATCAGCGCAATCATTCCAATGGTGGAAGTAATTCGTGCAGTTTGAACTTGGACCTGACGTGCTGTCTGACATCATCATCCCGCTGTTGATGGTGTAATCATATTTCCAATTTTATTTACAACAAAAAATTACAAAACATCTTTAAGCTAATCTTGAAGAACAATAAAACACAACTAGACAGGATCAATATTAAATTGCATGCTTGAGATAGAAAACTAGATTAGATGAGATTACCTTGGTGACCAGTTGTTGTAGGAAAGGCAACAATTTCATGAGTTCGTCGTCATTCTGATCATCAAACCAACTTTCGATTGGTATCCCATTGTCCAGCTGCAATGTTTGAACATCAAATCAAGTATATTCATTAATCTATAACTAGCTCCTATTACATCTAATTGCAAAATAGCATGATTTTATTCATGCCAATTCTCAAACTTCAGTGTAACTGTCTAATGCTACACTAACTGAGCTATACACTAAACAAACATGGCCATATTTTTCCGAATAATACATTTGTTTTAAGTTTTAATATTCTAAGATGAGTCATCAATGTAAAATTACCCAATGAATAAGACATTACAATATTCCATGATAAATCAACAGTATTTAGCGTAACGTTCACTACCAATGCGATATAGCCGGTCTAAAAGTAAAGCAACTCAAACAGTAAAGTGAATAACGTAGAAAAGCATTTAAATTTCTCATGAGGCTCAGAAGTTAAAACCTGATAAGCGAATGCTTGAGGTGAGTTGTCCACGATGATAGTCTTTGATAGATCTCGACCCAGTACATTCAAATCTTTAATATAGTTTCCATTCACACATATGCAGTGCTCTCTGAACAGCCGATATCTGGCAGTTGGTGGTTATTCAGAGAGGTCATCATATATGAAGACTAAACAAGAGTTAACATGGTATGAAATACATAAAGCAAAATAATAATAATAATAATGTGTCATTTAATACAGTTCCCCGTGCATAGCGTCTGGAGTGCTATAATAATTTAATAACAATAGTCCATTTTCTCACGAGCAGCTTTCAATATGTTTACACCTATATAACATGAATACACATATCGATCATAACAAATCAGCCAGATATTGATCAGGGAAGGACTGATGCATAGGAGTGCTAGTTCTCAAAATTACAAATTTTAATGTTAGGCAGAAAACACAAATAACAATGAAACAAATCATAATAAAAAACAGTGAAAATAAAAAAATGACCATCCAAGGCTTGAGAACAAGTGGTTTGAAAACAAATTTACCTGATAAGTTTTTTCTGTGGATCCAGAAGGTTCAGCAATTTGTTGGCGTAGACCTTTTTAGATGCTGTGAAGACGATGACTTCAAATAGTTTTGATACATGCTCCAGGAACTCTCTGTGCCGAGGTCTCGTCTTCACATAAACCTTAACATAAGGTGCAAAATCAAACTCTTGATATGGGTCCAATTTTTGTAAATACTAATTGCTCTAAACAAAAAAAAGAGCGCACAATGATGAAGACATAATCGCATGAATAAAAAAACTAATTGAGCTAGTCAATTAGTTAAAGCCAATCATGAAACAAATCTACTTATATTTTTTAAAGGATTCCAACCAATCAACTAAAAACTTTGGTTAATCATTAAGTAACACAATCACATAACAATAGCAAGAGTAGACCAAACCTGGTAGGTGACATCTTCAAAAAGAACGGGAAAGGTGAAGACGGCATCGGGAACCTCAGTAAGACTACAGTGGACCAGAGTCTCATCAAGATCGAGGACCAGGGTGTGTAGAGGGGCCCTGCGTGTCTTCAGTGGGAGGGCCGGTGTCTTGATTCGCATGTCATCCATCAATGGAGGTAGGTAACGGATGAAGTAGTATCTGCTCGCCATTTTTAATTACATTATTATCAGTAACTTATCCATTTATTCACTAATCAATAACAATTATTTCATTCTGATAAATTATAAATTTTTATTATATTGTAGCTAGAGCATATTTACCATCAAGTGTGAAAACATGAGTATATATGTAAAAAATTAACAACGGTAGAAGATATTTCAGAAGTGATCAAGATTTGATTATTTAATGATAAATGAATGAACAACTGAATTAATGAATGAACAGAGGATAGTAAGAACGTACGGATCGAAAACTTCCTGGTCCCAATCATCCACCTGCTCGTCTGCACTCTCCTCCCCCTGTTGCCCCCCTGTTTCCATGGCAACAGTAGCCAGGCAGCCAGATGAAGGAACAGGTTGTAATGTAGCACTAGCGATCAGATTAGCAGAATGAGTAGGGGACTGATTGGAGAGAGACGAAGAAGATGAGGAGGATGGGGGTCCGTACGTTAGTACTTCGTCGCACCTCAACTGAGCTTCAGAAATTGAATTGTTCATTAAATCAATACTGTCGTTGGCGATGGCGTTGTTTGTGGCGGCATTGTTCAGCAATGTGTTGTTGTCTTCTATGTTGTCAGTAGTCGATGTGTTAGCAGCACCATCATCTCCCACTGTGAAGAGAGGAATCTTGTTCTCTTTACCCGATTCTGAAAAATAAAACCATTTAATAATGCAGTAAAAATTATGAGAAAAATCAAGAGACAAACCATCAAGATGTTGGCCAATGACATCCGATGGTTTTGTGGCACTGCTACACGATTGGTCAGGAGCATGGACCACCTTAGCTATTCACAACAAATCACATTGATTAGTAAATGTGTCGACAAAAACAAGGAACTACTTCATCCCTTTATTTTATAAAATTTAAAGAGAGTGAATGTGAATGATACCTTTTGGGGGAGAAGGTGGAGGACAGAGATGGAAGGCAGGTGAGAATAATGTGTTGCTCATGCAAGCTGATTTGGCTCTCGTTGTCATTGTCGTCGTTGGGACATCTGCTTTTCTTTTTACTGTTGACCTCTTACCTGAAATTTAAAGAGACATAAAGAATTCCATGTATTAGAATGAAAATAAAGCCTATTTTTAATTTAAAACTGACAGAAAATGAAGTTTTTAATGCGAATATGCAGCTAAAACACTTATGCATAATGTAAAAATGTATCCAAAGTTACCTATATTTTTTGGTTCATTTTTTAGCAATGAGTTGTCGCATTCAGGAGTGGTTTGTTGATCTTTTGACGTAGTCGTTGCAGTGGTTGTTGTGGCTTCTTGGATTACAACTTGTGAAGTTGGCATCTTGTGATTTTTAGTGGGAGAAACTGACAATGAAGATGATGTAGATACAGTCGAGTCTTGCAACTCATCATTAACTACTGACGTTTTTTCAGTAGACTTGGAGCTAGTAGATGCAGCATTACTTTTACAGAGCTTCTCAGCTGGTGGGTCCATTTTTAGATTCACACAGGCTTTATTCCTGATGGGTTTGTCAGCTGATGTTGATTCACTTTCAACCCCATCACTGGCTTTTTGGGACTTTGAAGTTGATGACTGAACATGAATTTTAAAAATATTTCAGTTTGGTTTAATTAATAATAAATTAGTTTTTAACAATAAATCAAAATTAAAAAATATATATATATATAGAACTGACTACAATGTTGGCGTCAGACTTGGTCCGCATAATTCGTTTATCTTTTTTAATTGGAGTGGAAGCGACAACTTTTTCTTTTTTAGGGACCTTGGATTTTGTCCCACTAACTCGTGGCCGACGTGTTGATTTATTCCTAAGCTGCATTTTTTTTATTAAAATAATCAGTGCTTAAAAAATTAAAAATAAACTTTTCCCTAATTTTTCACCATTAAAAACTAAAACATCCAGTCAGGGAACCAAAACAATTGATTGTTCAATGGAAAAAAATTCGCGATAACTTAGCGATGATTTACAAATAAAATTTTTCGCGCTAACTTAACCAAACATTTGCGAAGAAATTTTAAAAAAATCGTAAACAATGTAAATTAGTCAGTGATTAGTTCCGCTGATGGTATTTCTTAAAAATCTTTTTAATTAAATTATAAATTCGATATTTTTTTTAACAAATGTTTAGATCAGAATTAAATGTCCTTCGAAATTTGAAATTCGCACCAAAACAAAGCACTATTTACTAATTTGAGACTATTTTCGCGCTATTTAAAACCCGGATGATCAAATAATCCGTACGACAGGCTCGTGCACAAAAGTAAGTAAGATGGTCATTATAATCATTTCTCATGACATGTTCGTCAAAAAATCTATAACACAAAACATTTGAACATTGAAAATAAAATTAAAATAACTTGTTTTATAAATGTTTTATTTGCATAATTGTACACTATTTTACGGTGAATAACATGAAATAATTGTTAATTGTGATTAAATACGGAAAATCCCATCATTATGTTAATACATACAGTAATCCAAATGATATAGCTTAGCATATGTTATGTATGCGTTGTATGTAGTTATATAATGCCTATTTAAAAAAGATTTTTTCTGAATTAAAAAGAATATTGCTCTGCTGAGGTCCTGGTGGTCTGGGTTTGTGTCAACCTAACTTGATTAATATTTTTTTAGAATTTCTGATTTAAAAAGAAACAAGTATGTCAGTTGTTTTTCTATTATTAATTTTTTTGGCTTCTCATTTTATGTATTGATATTTTTTTTATAGTTAAGAAAAATAGAAACTACCAGATTTTTCACCAAAATATCTATTTGAATATAAAAGCATAATTTAAAAATTTTAAATTAATAATAAGTTGAATGTGTGAATTATTTATTTTATAATATTAATAAATTCATTATAATTAATTTATCAATCATCAATGATATCTAACTAATCTAATTACTAACTAAACCAAAGTAGACTAAAATTTAAATTAAAATGACTAAAGTTTAATTTAAATTAAAAGTTATGGTTTTCTAGTTTTAGTAGCTGGTGTTTATTTTTCTTGATTTTTAATACAACTCAACAATATTTTTTTTTACCAAAAGACAACAAAAAGAAAGAGATTCACTAAAATATTTTCAAAATTTTTGCTATGTCACCCATTCCTATTCCCACTAATGACCATGATGATGAATCTGATATGAAAAATGAAAATAATATTGCTCCAATTAATACTTTCCATGCAAATGGAGATGCCCACCTGAATGATAATGATGATGATATTGATTTGATTAATGATTACAATGGCTATCAACCTATTCCACAGGGTGGTTAAATGTTTTGAGTTTCAGATAACATTAATATTCCAACATATTGAAAATCAGTTTGTTTACTTTTTGAATGGTAATGAAAAAACATAATATTATATATTGTTTTCTCTGCATTAATGAACTACATAGTGATCTGATATAAATTGGAATAAATTGTTGTATATATTTATATAATATATAAAATTTGTATTCCAAATATATCAGTATGAATTTAAATTAAATGAAATGATCACCATTACTTTCATAATTAGGACCCGATGGCTCCTTATCACATTATGACGGTGAAGAAGAAGAAGAAGAAGAAGAAGAAGAAGAAGAAAGGGAGCTGGATTTGGGTTCAATCCTAGCTTCAGCTAATCTTACATCACAATCTGAAGTAAAAATTTTAATTTAAAATTGATGGCTTGCTGTCAAAAATTCGTCAAATTAAAAAAAATCTTTAATAGCCAAAAGTGAAAATTTCAAAAGAAGAAATTGAAGAAAGAAAGAACATATGGCAAACACCCCGAAATGATAGTGGTCATCCCATGGATCAGAGTATGTTTTATATTTCAAAGAAAGTTAATGTTCTTTTTTGTAATATAGTTAAATATACTGTACATGAAAATTTTAAGGTATTCAGTAATTTTAATAATACTAAGCCATACTTATTGAAAATTTTCAAGGTGAGATTGACAATATAAAATCGATCATGCAAGGCATCAAAATTCCTGCAAACCATATCCCTGAATGGGCCCAACAAATCTCTGATGAAACTTGGAAAAGCCAATTATTAAAATTAACATTAAAAGATGTTGCCAAATAATATTTTTTCTTGCTTTACACTGAATTTATAGACTGAATCATGACAATTTTGTTAAGTTTTTCGATAGTTTGTGAATATAAGCGGTTGCTGGTTGCGTACAGTGTGTATGGATGTGTTTCTGTATGCGTGCGTGTAAGAGTACGGTAAAAATCTCGAATCTAACGTTGTGAGTTGGGAAAATGCGAAAAACAGAAGCGCATATTAATTTTGGTACGTTTGCGGTTATTAGACGTCTCACAGACCCTAACGAGATTGTTGAACATAAATTTAGGCTTGTCGGCTGGTTGAGAATCCGAATTTGTCTCGCATCGCAATAGTCATGGTAAAGTTCATTTATTTCAATCACTAATTTTCCTGCTTATAAATTTATTTAATTTTGTTTTACGTTGCCAGGGTAACGAATCTTCACTGCCTATGGAACTATGTTCAACATGTATGTCTTTTAGCAGCTTCTTTGCTTCCTTCAACAAACAATTCAATCAATAAAATATTAAATAACACTAATTTATAAAAAGTAATTTAAATATTAATTAGAGAAGATTAAATTGAAATTTTTAAGTTTTATTTTGACGTAAAAAATTTCATTTGTTGTTTAATTTATGTTTCAATTTTAATGAAGTTGACATAGAAGAAATTAAAAGGCTGGGGAAAAGATTTAAGAAGTTGGACATTGACAAATCAGGCTCACTGAGTGTTGAGGAGTTTATGTCATTGCCAGAGCTACAACAGAACCCATTAGTTCAACGTGTCATTGATATCTTTGATACAGATGGCAATGGGGAAGTTGACTTCAAAGGTTTCTAAGCTTCTATTTTTGTTCCTTCACGTTACAAAACAAATTATAAACATATAAATAATATAAAAATTTTTATTAGAAAACACTTGAAAGCAATTATTCATTGTTCAAATTGTTGAGTAGTTTTTTTTCTTATTTTCATTCAACTGAATTTTTTATCTTGTTTAGAATTCATAGAAGGAATTTCTCAATTTAGTGTAAAAGGAGACAAAGATGCCAAGCTACAATGTGAGATTCACACTGTTTGATTTCATCCAATCCTTTTATTCATGATTTTGCATAAAAATTTTGTTTGTAGATCATTTGTAACTCTAATTTTAACTCATAATAGAATATAATAGATGTAATATTAATTGTTTATCTTTATATTAGTTTTTTCACAAAACAGTTGCGTTCAAAATCTACGACATAGACAGAGATGGTTTCATATCAAATGGCGAATTATTCCAGGTCCTGAAGATGATGGTTGGCAGTAACCTGAAGGATGGACAACTACAACAAATTGTTGACAAGACGATAATCTATTCAGATAAGGATGGTGACGGAAAGATATCTTATGACGAGTTTTGCGCTGTGAGTTCATCTTTCTGCTTCAAATTTTTAAACTATACTTATTCAAACATTTTAAAAATTTTGTTCCAATTAAATTAATTTCATTAGCCTTTACTCTTAATGCTAAAGTAGTAATATTATATATAAATGTAAGTCTTAAAATTTATGTTTTGCTAATTTGGTGATTGTAAAAAAATATGGTTTGAAAATATAAATATATTACAGATGGTTGGTGGACTTGAGGTCCATAAGAAAATGGTTGTAGACGTCTAGTTGTTCCAACAAGAAGTAGAAAAACAGTGATGTGACTGTTCTTTTATATAATTTAATAATATTCAATAATTTTCAATTTATTTTTGAATTGTATTTTTTGACCTGGCTGCAGTTTTTTTGCGTTTGTATTTTCTTTGGTGTGTTGGTGTTTTATATTTGCATTTGTACGCATAAATACATGTTAATGCACAGAATTTTATATCAACTTATTTGGAAGCAAACATGCTAACTAAAAAATTTCTGCTAGGAAAATAAGTACATGTGCTTTTTCCATTTTCCCTTATCATCACCATCATTGTATTTTATTCATCATTGAGTCTTAGTGTATTGTACTATTTTATATTATTAATCAATTAACTAGTTATTTAACTATTTAATTAACTAATTGATTAGTATTCAATTGATAAATACGTTTCTCAAAAATAGGCAACATTGTCATCAATCATTCTATCTATTCGTTATATTTTGAATGCTTTCAATTTTTTATGCACACAATGCATTACAATCCAACCAACGTTAACATCGGATAATATATAATTAATATTATGTATTAATAAATACTATTAATTGGACATTCATCTGTTCATTTTTAGATGACAGCATGCTGTTTTATTATTCCCAATCCACTAAATTTCATACCATCAGAATTTATACATGTTCATGTCAGTATACATGTATATGTGTACATACATATACATGTATGTGTATATGTATACCTATTATTTATATACTATATATTATGTATACCTACACATATACATACGTATATATTTGCTTGTTTTAAGTATTATATCATGCAGTCACCATGCCAAAAACAGATAACTTATTTATCAGTGTGCAAGACTTTAGTGTGCCATTTTTGACCAATGCACCTTTTTTGACACACATACATATATATATATATATATATATTTATGTGATATATATATATATGATGCACTATACGTTTTTAATATATGTATTTTCATATATCTTGTTAATTATTAATTATCCCCCTGCTATATATATATATATATATATATATATCATTTGTAATATATATATATACAGCTTCTACGTATAATGAAATCATGTTATTGAATAATTAATTGTTGAGGCTTTCTGCTGTTATGGTTGTTAAGATTTGGAATGAAAATATAATTTTAATTGGATGAGTTTGAGATGGTTTTGATTGCTGTGTGGTCTGGTCTGTTGCTGTCTTTGCTTCTGTTCTTTTTTTGTTTATGGTTGGCTTTAGATTTATTACCCTTTTTTGATAAGTTAATAATTTGATAAAGTTGATAATTCATAATTTTATTAAATAGTTTATTTTTTATTCTAATTTATTTTTTCCTCACGAAAGAGCTATCTTTTAAATGAATTTTCAATAAATTGTGCATAGCTTTGTGTTATAGCCAGGTTTAAATTTTTTTTTCATATTATATATAATTAATATTGAAACAAAAATATTAACAACAAATTATTCGGCAACACAACAAACGTCAACCAATTACAAAGTTTATTCTATGTGAATTTATCAATCCATTGACATGTATAAATTGATTATTCCTAAATATTTATATAATAATAATATTCAACTAAAATCTTAACAAAAGTGACATCATAGATGATGTCTTCAAAACAATGACACTAAAGACGTCGACCACTAGATCTATTTTTTTCATCACATCTCTTCATCAGAGTCCGGCTCTATCATGGACGCCTGTCATAGTAGTGAAGTTTATCATTAGGTTATCTAATTATCTATTTCAGGAATGTAGAAATGAATGTATGTAAACACACCTAAGTTGAGAAAAGACACCCAACAAATAAACAACGCATTCATTCACTGAGGAAACATAATGCTGAATCAAATGTGGAATGGACGGCTCACACACACATACACACAACACTATAGAGATGTTTACACATAAACACACAGGTACACAGAGACAAGAGCTGTACACACACATGAACATACACACCTTTGCATATTTTATGGCTTCCTCAAGAATGTCTTGTGGAACCATCTCATGTCGGCCCTCAGTGTCTGGGGGAATTTTTAAAAATTATTATTGTTTTAACGTTTTAATTTATTTTCATTATAAATACATCCATGAAAAATGAACAAATTATTAACCACCATCTAGAATTTTTAATATAAACTAAACAATAAAGGTGTATGTATTTATTGAGATGCATACTTGTACATGTGACTTAGTTTATGTATTTGTGTGTATGTGTAAAGTGTGTGTGTGTGTGTTAAAGTGGTGTACAGCTTTTTTTTTATAAGTGTACTATGTAATGTACAACTTTATACGCATACCTTCTCCAATCCAGCTCATTTCCAAGTCAAACGCTTTGTCCTTTAGCTCATCATGTACAATGTGTATACTAAGTCAAATTTTAATTATTATTGCATTAAAATTAACTGAATTAAATTACTTGAAATAATACACAAACTCATTTGATACTTTGATTCATGTATATGATGTAGTTTATCAATAAAACTCAACATAAACTAGATTTTAATTTAAATAAAGTAGAAGGTAACGAGTAAAAGAGTATAATGTAAAAAATTCGCTTACATCTTGGCAACTTCTTTTACTATATCTCTCATTGTCATGTCTTTCATCTTAAAAATTGAACAAATTAATCTATTACATAAAATAAAATGCTAATAATAATTAAAGTAATAGATGATAAATATTAAATATTATTATAGGAGTCTTCTAACGAGAGATCAAATTTTATTTAAAAACTATTAACCTTGACTTTTTCAACTTCCGTTTTGGCAGCCTGTTTGGCTTTACCTACTGAGCAGCCGTGATAGCCCTGAAAAATATTTCAAAGTTTATCGGTAGTATAATTATTATTTTAATATAAAACCACCATAATTATTATAATAACGTTGAAAAATAATAAATTTTATAATTATTTTAACTGTATTTTTCATCTGAAACGTCACAATTTCACTAACTGAAATCATTCTAATTATGAAAATAAACTAGAAAAAATATCTGAAATTAATTTTAATGTTTAAAAAAAATATTAATTAAAAAATTTTAAATAACTAACATAACATATTCCAGAAGGCTCAATGGTGAATAGTTGAGGAATATTGTTGTCGACACCACTCAGCAATACACTGCAACCGAATGGCCTGACAAAACTGTACAAGGTGTATGCATGCATGTACATTGCTACTCTATCGGCCAAGACCTAAAATTAAGAATTTTGAAGTTTTGAATAACTAACATACAAAGAATAATAATAAAACTTAATTAATCATAAATTAATGATAAATTATGAACCTGAATTCTTTTTAGCTTTAATTTATTGTGTAAAAAATGCTATCAAACTCCCTTATAACAGAAGATACATAAGATTTATTTAAATAATTAAAAAAGCTGACAACAATATAAATAACATATATATGTATGTGTACATATATTGAAGAGGTTAAAAGTTGCCCAAACAAACCTTGCATGGAATGGGATTGCCATAGTTTGACCTGTAGTTCGATGCTTCTTGTTTTGCAATGTCAGCTATCTGGCGAGCGTCTGCCAACAAACCAGCAACTGCCTAATTAGTGGTAGATAAAATAAGTTTTTAAAAACGAAAAGAAAGGTTTTAATCGTAATATGATATGTATCATTCATGTTATGTGAAAAAGTTAGAAAAACTGAACCATTCCAATGTGTTCATCAATGTGGAATATTCTCTTGTTAGCTTCTTTCTCATATAATTTTGACTGGATTAACTTTTCAACTCCAAAAACCACTCCATTTTTACCACGTATTCCAACTGCAGTGCTGGTTTGGTTAATATTTCAGTTAAAATGAATTTCTGAGTTTTGATTTTAGTGAATGACAATAAAAAAATTTCAAATAATAAAAACAAATAATCTAGCTAGAAGAGTTCTCTTCAATTTTTAAATCTTATATAAATTTTTAATTAAAAAACCACTTTTAAAAGAGGGGAAAAGGTCATTTAAAAAATTAATTCAAACATACAATTGACAAAAATTAGATCTACTGAAAATTGAAGCAAACAACTGACCCGCTGTTCTCAACGGCCTTCTGGGCATATTCTACCTGGAAAACTTTGCCATCAGGAGAAAATTGGGAAGCTGACAAATCATACTGAAATTAGAAATTTTAAACGTTATTTTAGCAAACCTTAACAAAAATATTTCTCAAAATACTAACTCCAGTTCCGATCGAACTCATTTTTGATATTAATTATGATAAAATAAATTAATTTAACTTTTGAAGGGAGATGATAAAGCAGAAACTGGGCGATATTGCAAATATGAAAAGTTTATGCACAGAACATTATATTTTGTGCCGTTATATTAAAACCAAAGAACACAACGACTTGGTTGCATATCTAAGCTTGGACTGTCATATATTGAATAAACTTTGAAAACATGATGCATTTTACAAGGTCCAACGTTAACGTTCGGATCAATCAGGCCTATATTTCTACTCTTATGTGTAACTTGATATTCAGTTTTTCAAAATTTTAGAGTTAGGTGTCTAAAAAAGGTTTGAACAATACATTATTTTCATTAAAAGCAGAATTCACCACAAGTTCCAGTTGAGGGTTAATGTGAAATCTAATTTATACATTCTCATCATGTTTTAGTGTGCCCAACCAAATATTCATTTTAGCTAGAATTATTTCAGTCACGCATGAATTTTTATTGTTTTTTACAGGCGCACAATTGAATACAACACAAATGCAGTATAAAACGGTAAAATAACTCAATCATATGTATAATTTCATTGGCACCAACTTGCTATCAGGTGAGACGCGCGCGTTAGATCCTTTTAATAAGTTGACACAACACTTGAATATGAAAAATTTATGTGTTTAAAATTTATTGACTTCGTGGTATATAAACAAAAAGTTATTGGAATTTTTAGTCTTCTTGTTCGACGCACTTTTAAAATTATCATAAGAAACATTTTTTCACGTCGTTATAATGACGAATTCTTTTGTGTTATTCAAAGATTTTACAGAAATATTTTTGGCTTATAAAACATCCAGCAGAGGCTATTTTAACTGATGTTATTAAACGTAATGTAACTAATGAAGTTTAGAATATTCCTCAATTGTTTTTGTGTTTGATTTGTTTTTATACAGATGATTTGTTCTTATAAAAAAACTCAGAAGTGCGGAGGTGTATTCAGCGTATTTCGATTTGAACAAGAAAGTTGCGCTCCTAAAGATTAAACAAAACATTGATGAAAGATCTTAAGCATTTCATGTTACTAAGAAAATGAAATATTAATTGTAATTAAATGCTATATTAAGTAATAATTTCTTATAATTGAAAATGTTTAGAAAACAATAGGATTGATGGCTTAAGAATATGTTCACTTTCTCGCTAACAGCAGATCCCATTTTAAAATTAAAAAGTTGTTTTTAACAAGCAAGCTTGTAAGATAGCAAAATTAACACAAAATTCGACCAGCTTTTTCAACTTTTTTGGTCAAATTTCAGTCTTTTTTTGAGACTGAACAACTTGTCGACGATTCATTCATAACCTTAACTTCAAATGAAATAACAAGACAATATTCTGCAGTTTCTCTTATTTTTGAACTAAATCCACCTATTTTTCTCCACTATCTGAAACACTGACTCAAACATGACATACGATTTGGAACTAAATAAAAGATGAATTTAACGAAAACCCCAAAAGTTAAAAATTTTTTTTACGTGGATGTTGAATTTTTTACGCTAAAATAAAAAAATACAACAAAAACTGTTCAGTGTTCACGAAAACAATCTGAACAAAAAAAGAGCTAACAATACATTCTCGGTAATATGCCACATTTAAATGCCACAAGCGTTCAGAATCTTAGAAAATAAAATAATTTAATTATACAATAAACTTTTAAAAGAATATAAAAAGTATATAAAGTTTCACATTCAGCCACACATTACCACTCAACAATAGAATATATAATTGTTTGGAAATATTAAATAAAATAATTTTGTTTTGTACGCTCTCCTCGTACGTTCGGTTCCGTTATTTAGACATCTCAGTTGATGGTCTTCAAAGCCCGTGGTTTTAAACGGTTGCCAGTGCTTCCCTTGCCATTTGTACCTTTCATGTTCAGTTGGAATTCAGTGGAGTTTGTATTTTTAATTTTCCTCGGAGGTGAGGTCATTAAATTGTCCTTTGATTGCTGATAGTTTTCACTATTCGAGCTATGCCCACCAGAAATATCATTGGATGGACTTTTCCTATCATAAATCATATTACTTTCCTCGACATTCTGTCCTAGCCACGGAGCTAGTCTTCTGTGTTTTAATGTCTTTGGTTTTGATTTGTTTGCTGATTCGTTTATTTTATTATTCACGTTATTACCGGAAGTCTCGTCTTCCATAGTGTCTTCGTGTATTCTAAATGGTTTGTCAAAATTATGTGAAGAAACTGTACTGTGAGGTGAGGGGTAGTTTATAAATTTGGTTTGAGATGGCGCTCGAGAATGAATATCGCTGGCGTCGTAAAACTTCATACGATCTTGTAAGGTCATCGACTTGCCCTTGCAGATGAAGATGCCAATTTTGGGATCCGTGCTGTTGGGATGTGTGTCGCAAGGGTTGGGTGCCTCGATGTTGTAAAGGGTGGTCTTTGCGGGGGTTTTGTTGTCGTTGTTGTTGTTGCTGCTACTTACAAGGTTGTTGCTGTTGTTGCTGCTATTATTACTGCTGCTGCTGCTTCTGCTATTGTTGTTGATTGGGCAGTTAATTTTAACATTGGTTAGAGATGAGGATGATGAGGATGATGAGGAAAGAACAGATGATGATAATGACGTTAAATATGAAGAGACATCATCATCATCACGTCTGCCATCAGCGCTGGAGTTGAACGACTGGAGGAGGTAATTGAATGAAGGAAGAGGTAGTGATGGATTGAAGGTAATTATCGGTGGTGATGATGACGATGATGTTAAGGTTGTTGATGATGATAAATTCGATGATGACGATGACGCTGATGATGTCTGCGGAATTTGATTTTCTTTAAGTGGAGATCTGTAAGGGGTCCAGAGTTGACCTTTCTCCCTGACCGGCTTCAAAAATGACGACGAAGACACCACGGATGATGACGACAACGAAGATGATGATGAAGAGAAACATAATAAGGATGACGTTGTTTTTGATGGAAATGTTGAAGGTGTTGATGCTTTACGCAATACTGATGATGATGACAATGATGGAGATGATGACGACGATGATGACGGCAAGAGAATAACAAGATCAACATCATCTGATCCATGGGTGGTACTTGCAGAATGCTTCAACAACCTTCCGACTTCATTATTATTATCATTTCTACACAAACTGACACACGATTGATTCGTAACCACTTTTGTTGTTGATGTAGCCAATGATGATGTAATTGTTGTTGTAATGTTGGATGCTGATGTAGCCAACGATGATGTAACTGTTGTTGTAATGTTGGTCGTTGATGTAGCCAACGACCATGTTGTTAATGTAATTTTTGATGTTGATGTTGTAGGAGCGGACTCAGATGTCGTAGATTCTTCTTTAGAGGGAGATGCTTGCAATGTGAGTTCAGCACTCGAATGTTGATGATCACACGCCGACCCGTCACTCGATAGCATTGAAAAATAAACTGAGTTGCTGCAAGTAATTCCACTCATGTCATTAACTTCTGGAAGGGTGAAGGAGGTATTATTGCTGGAGTTGTTCTTTGTAGTATTGTTGCTAGTGTAGTAGCTGCTAGAGGAAGAGTTGTTGGGAGTGGAGAAACAACTATCCTCATCAATGTTATTATCATTGTTATACTGGTCATTGCTACGATCATGATGTTTTTTCATTGATAAATTTTTGGTGTTGATTTTGATTTTGAAAATGCTCGAATCTCTGTTTGCTGTGTAGTGGTTTGAGTTGACAACGGATGAATTTAATGGATCAGAAGTTATTTTTGGTGACAATAGAGATGACGACGACGATAATGATTTGGTGAATGAGAATGATGATAATAATGATGATGATGGATGTAGCAATGAACTTGCTAGCTGCGAGGGTGGTGATGATGATGATGGTGGTGATGATGGTGGTGGTGATGGTAATTGCCTAGCAGTTGATTTTTGATATTTTCTTGAATTTCTCTTATTTGAGGTTGAACTTTCTTTCTTGACGTTTTTCCTCTGCTGACGATTTTCTTGTTTTTTCATGAACCTGAGATACTCCTTGAATGTGTTGAACTGGCAAACCGGGAGCTGGATAGTGGATGTTGTTGGTTCTGTTGTTGTTGTTTGCTCTGCAGATGTTGTTGTTTGCTCTGCTAATGTTGTTGTTTGCTCTGCAGATGTTGTTGTTTGTTCCGTTGATGTTGTTGTTAGTTCTGTCGATGTTGTTGTTTGCTCTGTTGATGTTGTTGTTTGTTCTGTTGATGTTGTCCACAGCGTTGTTATTGATTTTGTTGTTTGTGTTGATTCGCAACGCGCTGCTGCTGTTGAACTGTTGGCAGCTAAATGTTGAACTGTTGGTCTTCTAGCGAAGATGACTTTCTTAACAGTTCTGTTGTCAATGGTTGCATTCTTCCAAACCACAGCGTGCAAATGTAAATCTCTGATCTGGTAAGTTGGAAAGATGATGCTGATGAAAGCATTAAAACTGAAGGGATTATAATCTTAATTTTTTATAAGACCATCAACTGATAAACTGATGAAAAAATTGACAAATAACTAAGTTGACAAAGAGTTCGCCAGTTGAAATTTTTAATTGAATGTTCTTTCATTGATAAATTAAATAAGGGCGGTTTACAACAGAATGAAAAGAAATAGCACAAACAAACTTACAGAGAAACTCTTGAATATCTTCTCCACGTCAGCAATGGCGTATTTATCCGGCAGGAAGTCATCATCGGCTTCATGAAACACACCCACCATCACATCATCGCCATCAACACCACGACTACATCTGCTACTACCCTCAGTATCACCGCTAAAATTTTTATTATCCTCATCATCATCACCACCTCTATTATTATTATTGTCATTATTTGCAGCACCATTATAAATACTATCGTCAGTAGCAGTTGTAGTTGCGGCAGTAGCCGTCGTTACGTCACATGCCACGTCGCATTTCATCTTCACGAATTTTTTTAACAATTGAATAGAGAGATAGCAGGAGCACGAAATATACTTTGGGTCCTCCAACGTTAAGGTGAGCTAGAAATTTATTTTATTCATTTTAATTAATTTAATTTATACTTTGGAAAACATGATTTTATAAAAATTTTATTCAAATTTTCAAACAATTTTGAGTTTGCCTACATTGTCGTTGATGATGATGATCTGAAGAATAAACTGAACATCTTGCTTGGAACTGACCAATATCGGTTTTTCAGCATCTGGAAGGCACTCGTCCATGATGGCACTGCTCGGGTCTGCAAAAGTTGTAATGTTTGATGGGGTTTAAAAATTTGTTGGAATAAAACTGGATTACAGCATCGTATAAGGGTTTTGTTTAAATCACAAAACACTTTTGTCTATAAATTCACATTCCTATTTAAAAAAAACTATTAAAATTGATCAATCAACTTATGATATTTAAACATCAATTTTTATTTTCAATTTATTTTCGAGTAAGTTATACATCAAACAATGACTTTGTGTACATGGATGGCAGGTTTATTTTAAAAAAACATAAATCAAAACACTACAAAATCAAAACAACACAAACAAACAGAAAAACGAACAAACAAACAAGCAGACAACACAGACAATACAAACAACAACACAAACAACGACGACCAACCAGTGGAAAAGATCTTTTTCAACTTGGAAACAATGCACTGCAGCTGGTTGTCCTTCATAATGTAGGTCCAAGGATGGATGGGGTGGATGACTGTGCCACACACGGGACACGAGTGACTTTTTTGTACATGTTCCTTCAAACATTCTCTACAAACTGTGTATGTTTGTTTGTGTTTGTTTGTTTGTGTATGTTTGTTTGTGTATGTTTGTTTGTTTGTTTGTGTGTGTGTGTGTGTGTGTTTGTGTGTGTGTGTGTAAGTGAAAGAAAAAATGTGTGAATGTATATAAAAATGTGTGTGTGTGTACATATGTGAGAGAGCGTGAGAAAATGAGAGAGAGTGTGTTTGTGTGTGTGTGTCTCTGTGTTTCATTTTAGACTTTATGTACGGTTTTTAATTATTAAATGTGAAGCACAAGCAGGCACATTAATAGAACATTCGAAGTAATAAAAATAAATTAATTTGTCACATAAAGATTTAAATAAATAAAGGAAAATAAATAAATAAAAATATCAATTATATAAATAATTACAATAACGATGTGATACAATAAAATGGCCATCCAAATCAGCTTTCATAAGCCTCCAATAAGGTTTAGAAGGGCTTTGTGCCATTGTCTTGTGATGGAGATTTGTGTTGCTAACAGTGAACCATGCAAACGATAAAACTACAATTACTTTTTGTTTGACATGGATAACACGCACACACGTAAACACACGCACGTACACACAGAAATAAATGCACGCACACACACACACACATAAGCAAGCTTACACACGCACATAAACACACACACAAACAAAAACCTTTCACTTTTTATGAATGTAAATTGATTGTAAGTGAAG